TATCCAAGCGGCTGCAGCGTAGATAGGTGAAACCAACGTCAAATGAACTAAAGTTCGTTTGGCGAAGTAAACGTTCAAAGGCTAACATAGGCTAAAGGAGATGAAGGGCGACCACTTTGTGCATGGTCGAGGTGCTGGCGGGTCTCGGCAGGGCATGCTGAAGTATTGAGTATTGCTGCTCCAATAAACCCGCGGTACTTGCTCCTTTACTCCGTCGATGCGCACCGCAGGCCTGCTTTAAACTCTACGAGTCACTTCGCACGTGAATTGCCGGCATTTTGCTCAGACCTATTCCCAATGGCTATTTTCAGCCATTAGCCTAAACTGAAGTATTGAACCCATATTCATGATAAAAAGAAGTCTTGGAACGACTCTATAGGCCTTACTGGTTCCTCTGAGAACCTGTCGTGGCAGCTGTGTCGTGGCTGTTTTCCTTAAAATTACTTTTTAGAATAAAGTTGAGTTAAAAAATCGGTGGTAATCCCATAGTGGTGACCTGGCTCCACGAGCCCAACAAGTATGGCTTCCTATTGCAACACGCATGCCTATTCTGTTCCTATGAGCACGCAATCTCCAGTTATTTCTTAGCTCAATGGCTCTCCCATAGCCATAGTAACAGGTACACGCAGAGTGGCATGAGGTCATCAACGTTCGAAAACGTGCGCGGCGGGTTGCGATGTGAGTAGCGTGAGGCCGCCAATAGAAGCTTTATATACCACATCTTCCTTCAAGGCGACGATTTTAGGTAACGCCTTGATCTTTGGGTTGCCCTTCGTATTCACTCGGTATCGATTCCCCATCTTTTGGAATGACGATTAACGAAGTGCAGAGCAGACCGAGAAATTAGGGGTGCTTTTGTCCCGTCCTCCATCCCGAGGGGAGCAGGGAGCAGGGAGCAGGAAGCAGGAGTATGACGACCGCCTTCCATGGCCATGTGCGAATTCATTGCCTTTAAATACTTCCGTGCTTTTGTACGGGCTACCTATTAGTATCTGGAAATTGTGGACGATCCTCAGTTACTCAGAACGAAAAAATCATTTCCATGTCCATTTTGCTCAGTGGAACTTCCCCTGAAATTTCATTTCTTCGGGGAAATGGAGGGAGAGAAAGAAAACTGAAACTGTCTAGCTAGTTTTCAATGTGGCAGGGCACGTACGGTATCAGGAGTAATGATATTGGAAAAATGATGTTGAGATCATTCCAGCTCTGCATAATTTATATTTCTTTCGAAATAACAATTTTAAAAAGTTTGTCAAAGTTTCATATTCCAAATTTTCAGTTTTTCTTGAAGTGGCTAAATGTGCAGTCATATACGATATATCACTGGAAAGGTCTTTCAAAGCTCTGTATGGTGATTTTGCTCCTCTTTTTGGACAACCTTGTCGGTATGCTGAGTACTTTGCTTTTCTTATTTTGCTCGCCTATCGACAAAGTGACGACAACGACATTTTGGCCTCAGATTTTTCAAATTCCTTTAGAGATGACTGTAATTTGCTCATTCCATTCCATAGACTTCTGGATAATCATTCCAGCGATACATAACACGTCTATATCCAGTCCAGATATATAATAAAAAAATACTAAAATTTTGAATATGTAACTTTTGAAATATTCAATTTTTTATTTCAAAAAAAGACCCCAAATGAGTATCGTTGGAGGTATCTGGAGGTTACCTTTCCAATTTACCTACTCATATACCGCACTTGCACTGGTACATTGAAAGCAACTCGACCAAAGATAATCAATGAGAAAAACAACAATTTTCAAGTGAATTCTTACGTAGATAATTATGAATAAAAAAGAAACCTGATTTGTTCATTGAAATGAAAAAAGATTGTTACTTTGTGTGATAAGAAATATGTCTTGTTCACTCGTCACACTTGGATGGGAAGGACTTAAAATTGCACAACTTTCAAAATACAATATTTTATCACAATGCTAAAATCTTCATCAAACTCAAAGATGTATGGAATACTATTGGACGTTTTTTGCGCCGAATGGTTCATGAAATCGCATTTTGGTCATTCATGAAGTATTTTCCATTTTCCAGCAATGTTTGGGAGGGATGGGGATATCTCTCTAAGTGCGGATTCGATGAGACCAATCCTTTCGGATTTGTAGGATTGACCGAAGTCTCTGAGAATATTTATCGTCAAATTCGAGATGGTCGAGTGCATAGAGTTCGCCTGCAATGACCCATGCGTTGAAAATATACTACTGTCTGCATCCTTTTCAGATCGTTAAATCCAGCCTATAGAGACTCCACTCTTCTCTATTCCTTGACTCTCTCCCTCTCTCTTGTCCTATCAATCCATTCCTCTAATCCATGTTCCCCCCCCCTCTGTGTTTTTTTTTACTTATTCCTATTCCTGTTTTCTTTCAGAGCTTTTCTTGTCACGCTTGTGATTCATGTTTGGGCGCTGATTTTCCCCCTTTTTCTTTCCTCGCCATGTTCCAGTGAGAACTCACGCAGGTGCTGCAAGAGGTCGAACAAGATTCTGTATTCAGTTACCGCAATTGTCATTTCTGCAATCGTGGTTCTCTTGGTCATCCTTACCACTGGCGGATACACTTCCGAACATGCTTCAGGTTCTTTTCTCATGTCATTCTTGTAACATGTTCGAGACAAGCCTTTATGAATTTTCCGACTGAACTTATGACTGAATTTCAAACGAACGCAAAGCTTTCGGATACGGCTATGACTATGTCTGTATCATGCTAATAAGCAAAGAATCAATAGAAGAAGTAGAAGAGTCCGCAGAATTTAGTATCACTAGAAAATAATATAACATGGTTCCTCTACATGCCGCGGAACTTTTGGACGATGTCCTTGTCTGTCAGTCTTGTTAACATTGATCTCAATCATGATAATTTAAACATAGCATGAACGTTTCGAAGTTTTCCAGATTTATACTGTACTAGTGAGTTTGCCCGAAGAGCAATTATCATAGCAAAATAGCATCATAGCGTCAGTCACACCCTCACAATCATTGGTTCGATTTAAACATTTAATGGGATATATATATGAACAGAAATTTCCACATCCTCTTCGACTGATGCATAAAATTGTAGCCGAAAGTTTACACTTGAAAGTATTAATAATAACCATTCTTTTTTCCTTTGACAGCGGAGAAATTCTCATTGACCATTACGTCTTCAACGTCCCCAGCAACAGACTCCCCTGAACAAGTCATCACGGCTTCACAGTTTGCAACATCAAACTCGCCTGAACCAGCCATCGCGATTTCAGAGCCGACAACATTAGAATCGGTTGAAACAGGAAACGCTTCGGCGCCTACAATCTCACCTTCACATCAGCCAACCACTGCCAATATAAAAAAAATAGAAAACGTTTGTCAGAGCAAGGAATGTTTACACGCAGGTCAGTCAATTTCCATTCGAATGATATTACCTGGGAAAAATTTATATGGAGAAGCTGGGAAGTGAGGTATTTGCAAACCCTCTCCGAATAACATTTTCGCCGTCATATTTCTATTAGTACCCACGAAAAGTTTGGATTTCAAATCCCTATCAGAATTCCAATCCCATATGCCACGCTTCAGGTAGGAATGATCGTGCGCAGAATAATATTGTAGACATGTATCCATGCTTGAAAATATTCAGTTGCACGGATGCCTACTGAACGTATAATGGAGAACAAAAATACAATATTGGCAAAAGTCAGGGCCAGGTTAACTAATTAATCCATCGCAATTTCAATATTGCAAATTTAAGGCGGAGTTAAGCCAAAAACATTTTGGGTTTGAATTTATTAAAAATTATTTGGCTTTTATTTGACTTGAACCTCTATGGGCATTCTTGAGGCAGCATGGAATGTTGCCTGAAGAATGTCAATAGAGGCTTGTTAACAAGGGTTAACAAAGTCAGTTACGGGGATCTGAGAATCCTCTTTTGTGAGAAATACGAAGAACTTGGCGAATAAGTACTACACACATTTTAGGATCGATATCGAAGAATTCTTGTGGAGTGCATCAGGTGCAGCTCGATCTGGAGCTCTATTGTTGGAGAGATTGGGAATGGGTCAGAGAGGTATATACATGTATAAACTAGTTTTTTTTTTTCCCTGGCAATAATGAGATCCCTCGCGTGGCAGATCTATCGCTAGGTGCAATGCACTTCATTTCCCCATAAAAATTGGAGTATTTTCTTTAACACTTTATATATCACATTTGCATTTGAGGTTTAAGCATGATATGGAAATGTGGACTGTCGCGACAGTTTTTTGGTCTTGTTAAATTCTGTGGACTGATCATAAATTCATATGAAGTCAGGTGAACAAGACTGGAGATTCTCTCTACCTTATGCTGGAGTGAAAATTTCACTCGAAAAAATCGTCCCGCTCGAAAAATTGCGCCGTGAGGGGATGCAAATTAAAAGTATGATTTCACTTGAAATAAATATTCTTAGAATGCCTCACGTTTCAATCTTGAGTTTTCCATATGTGCACGTTTCATTAAAGCGAATCTGAAAGGAAATACTTCCCCTCCACAAAAAGGCCCTGAGGGGGATAAGTAAATTACTTATCCCCTCGTAAATTCGTCAATATTATCAGAACATACAGAGAACTGTCATACATGCTCAAGACGTTTATGTTTTCTATATTAGGCAGTTTCTATGGGTCGGAAATGTATTTGTTACAAGCGTCTTTCCAAAAAAAAGTGCCCTATGGGGATATACCTCAAAAGTAGGACCTTTTCTGATATAAGCATTTCAGTAATTTGAGTACCAAGTTTACAATTTATTTCATACCTATAACACGGCGTCAGGCCATTAGACAGTTCAACATTGACGAACGTCCGAATATATTAAAAACTTGCCATTTGATCATATAATCACAACAGAAAGAATGAAAGAGACATTCATGAGCAAGGAATAAAGTTAAGAAATTCACTTATACTGCAATCGACAACGTACCAGGCAATTCGAGATAATCCGAATGTAACTGTTACTTTTTGCAAAAGTATGGGTAACTACAGTGGATGTTGCGACTTTCAGCGGAAGAGATCCTGAGCAACATGGATCCTAAGGAGGACCCATGCAATGATTTCTACCGGTACACATGCGGGAGATTTGTCGACAAAGCTATCATCCCTGATGGCGAGTCCTGGGTAAGCCAGTTTACCAAGATTGATTATCAGTTGAAGAAGGACCTCCGACACATCGTGGAAAAGCCAATCGGTTCTGGGGAACTTCCAGCTTTCCGTGTAGTGAAGACCATGTACGCGTCGTGCATGAACCAGAGTAAGCTACATTCTTCTTCCTAAATGCTCTTTTTTAAATAGAAATTCGCCAGCTGAATGCCGAATCTCTCATGCGTCCCATTTTCCAATTCAATTTTGAGTTTCAGTTTACTTGCATACCTTGTTCGAGAATCTGGAATAACATGAGAATTGCTCGAGGTTAGTACTTTGGGCCAACCCAAGATCAAATTCAGAGAGAGAATTTATCGGGGATACCAGAGAAATGGTTAAAACATTAGACAACGCATCTTTGTGCCGAAGACAGATCGGCGCATAAGAAACCTCGTGTAGGTCATGCCTCATCATGTACACCTTCCAGCATCACAAAAGCGTCTTATGGTCCTACTCTTATTCCTCAATCGAACATAATTTTAAAAAATTTCGCGAACATCTTTAGGACTTTAAAAAATAATCCAGAAGTGCAGAGCTTGCAAAGGTTTTCCGATATACGCTGAAATAATATTTATATCAGATACACAGTGCCCTGCCATAACAACAAGAACAAACCCATCAATGAATGTACACTTATCGACAAAAAAAGAATACCAAATAGGAGTTGAGCGACCTTAATCAAATTCGGTAGATACATTGTAGTAGTGTGTCATGACAACTTCGCGTTTCAAAGGAGTCGGATAAATATTAGCAAAGAAAAAGTGGGAAACATTTACATTTAAACAGTCGAGAGAGGGATGAGAGGGGCCTAATCACCTTGATCAAACATAAAATAGGTGTCAATTGATGAAATGTGGCATAGAAACTCTTACCGATGCGTAGTAAAATCCAGCAAAGTTTTAATGCCAAAGGCTGAGTGGTTGCAGAGAAAACTTGTCGCGAATCCAACGAATGGGTAAGAGGTCAGAGTAATATCCTTCACTTTTTTAGCTGTAGCAATAAAACTTTTTTTTTTACTTTTCTCATGAAGAGAGTAAATTGGATGCATTGCAACTGGAAGTGCCTTCGGCGTAGAACTTTTTGAATCCAAACGTACACTGATCTGGTGAAGTTTAAACATCACTTTTTTTTTAAATATGTTGGGCCAACGGTTATATAACTTCCATTTTATATATCTAGGGTGTTTACATAAATATTAGTTTCAAAAAGGCTAGATAGATGATGGATCTTATATTAAAAAGAGATAATTAAAATAAGTAATCACTAAACCGTTTAGAATAATTGGTTAAAAGTTGATTTTAAAAGTTGCACGTGAAGCAAGTCAGCAATAAGAAATCAAAGCTTTGTGACTTTACTCTAAGCACACCGTTGATCTGAAAAAATATCAATTGGGATTTCATGATAGATTTTTGAGCGAAATGCAAACCTTGTCATATCATATTTTAGTCGTATCTATGACAGAGGAGCAGCACCTTTGGTCTATCAGACTTGGAATTACCTAATTTTAATGCTGCACAGGTCAGATCAACTTATTGGGGCTGGATGTCCTGAAGGATGTCCTGGATCGGATCGGTGGATGGCCCGTAGTCCTCGGATCGGAATGGAACGACTTACACTTCACCTGGAGCAGCCTCATGTACGAATACCGGAAAATGGGATTCTCCATTGGTTACTTTATCGAATTCTCTGTTGCCGGTGACATGAAAAACTCCTCTCGCAATATCCTCAAGGTACGCTTCCAACACCACTGCTTGTTGTCATCATTATCCACTGCACTTCATATACTTTCTTTCAATTCGAATGGCTCGATTGTTGCCGAACTTTCAAGCCCATTATATGGAACTCGGTTTTGAAGCAAACTAACCATTTATTTCTGAATGCAAGACCTGCTGAATTCGAGACGGCCTTACCCTGAGAAAATGCATTGGTTTCCTAAGAACATTCCCAAAGGAATTATATAGGCTTTTCGGATTTAAAAAACCTATAGGATTCCTATAAGACATTTTCATAAGGAGACAGAGCGAGGAGCGGGATGGAGCATTCTTGTAATTAGATCAGGTTGTATATGAAGAGTTTAGAGGAGGGCTTTCAAACCATGGGGAATACGTGAACTTGGAGACACTGGCCAGTATGCAAGAACCTTAATTTCATATCCTATTACATGCTAGCTCTCATGATAGGTGTCATGCGATAGGTTTAAAATTTGGTAGGTTTCGTACGTATTTTGATAGGTATCTTCATACCTTTTATGATAGGTATTGAATACCTATCATGATAGGTGTACGTGAATCTTCATCGTCTTGCGCCCAGGAAAAATGTCATGTGTGTCTGCTCGCATTATGACTGACCGAGTGTTGTGTGATGATTTAATGGTTTTAAATCAGAACCCGGTTTTCCAGACTAGTGCTTGAATTCCGATTGGCGCTGTTTAATTCAAACTTCTGGTTTCACAGGAACATAAATAGATTTTCCAATAAATTTTTAAATGCATACAAATTCGAAAGGCGAAAAGATAAGAACCAAAGAAAGGTAACAACTATTCATTAGTCTTCGAACTTACTTTCTCCAGAAAAAAATTAGACATAATGAGACTGTACTATCAGAGATGGGAGTAAGGAAACGGTTTGGAGAGATTTGGCACCCCTGACGAAGAGAGAGATGTCCTACCAGATGCTGGAAACGGAGCTTCTGTCAGCTTTTACACTTAAACATTTGGATGGAAGATGAAGCCAACTATGCTTGCTCTTACCAAACTCTTAAAATGTTCGATACGACTTGGAAAGCGCACTCCACTTGCTTGTAACAGTTCCAAAAAACTTCCTTCTTGTCTTTCCTGAAGGAATTATAAGCCGAAAACTAGCTCGATTCTCTGTGCTCATGCCCTTTCTTCATTCAATGGCTTTATTTTCTGCTGCAACTTCGTTTGTTATTTTATTTTTGTATATTTTAGCAGAACCAAGGTGTAAGTGTATGGTGATCTATTTCGATCCATTAGCATTTTGTAGGTTTCTCTCATGAGTTAAATGTTCCGTTATTTCTCAGAAAGATTAACCTTTTCTCCTCTGTTTTGAAAAGGGCTCAACTAATTAGATTACGCCATGTGTCCTTTTGTTGCTCTTGAGCAGATCGATCAGCCAACACTTGGTCTGGACAGGGTATACTTGATGAAAGGCCTGGACGATGATGTTGTCCAAGCGTATTATGATTACATGGCGAAATTGGCCATCCTCCTCGGCGCCGCGCCAGATCGAGCGCAACTGGAATTACGGGAGGTCCTCCAGTTCCAAATCCTTCTCGCTAATGTAAGTCTTCACTTCCTTCCTCCCTGATGCATGATCATCATTTTTTTAACCACATGGCCTGAGAAATATTATTGGCAACAGAGAAAGAAGGATTGGTCCTTTCATTCCCCAATTTTCACAGATATTGTAGTGTCTTAACAGTCTGGAATCATATTGGCGTATCTTATTCTTGACCTCACAAAACGAGATACAGTGGACTAATGGGTGTTTCATGTGCTCCCTATGAACAGTGCAGTAGATTTAATTATAGTACAGTCCCCTCCTGTGAACATTTTCCAGTATGCCAAGTGGGATGGAACAATCAATAGAATTATGCTTATCTGGTGGTATCACATCACTAGCCGATGAATAAAATACTCTATGCGGGCATTTGAGAGTCGCACATCCTTGTTTCTGAAAGGACTGTCGCAGTGGCATTTAGATTTTGCAAGCGGTGAAGAGGGGATTAAGAGAGGATCTGGAACAAATCCCCGACAGGCAGAAGACAGATTTAGTTGAACTAGCTGAAACCTGCGCGAGAGCGCGGGTTCCAACTCAGCTAGTGTCGTCCCTTCGTTCCTCCTAAACCAAGGCCTGGTGGGGTGGTTAAATGACTGGATGGAATGATATGACGTAGAAGTCAATTGCGAGGGAGATAGAAAGAGAAAAAAAAATGGGCAAGCAAACTTCCTGACCCATCTCTGAAGGTACCATACTTCAAACGCATTCATTCATTCTCACGATTACCGCTCTCCCTGGACAGCGTCGGATCTGCTCCTGTTGGTGCCCCGTGGGGGTGCTAGGACAAAATGTTGCTGGGACAATCTATTCCTTAACAGAATACTCCGCTTGCGTAATTAAATATGTGCAATAGCGCTGGCATCAATTGTTTGTAGAGGTCAGGAAATTTGACCTTTTAGCTCCAATATCTCAAAGGGGTAAAGTAGATTTTAAAAACTAACTTCACCGACTAGCTCAAGGGACTTGATAATAACCCCCAAAAGAAAGGATTCAACTTTTTGGATGAAAATTGACCCTGGTGACCAAAGGCAGCTCTGCGACCCAACGGTCATAGGATCACCAAATTCCATCGTCTTTATTTTCCACTCCCTAGGAAGCTTGTGGGCCAAGTTTCAGGGTCAAGGAGAAGTGGTCTCACAGAGACACTTATGCTCATTAGTAATGTAAATTAAGAACAATACCCCTCGCCTCTGTTGCCGCGGAATTAAGATGTTCCTCGAACCCTTCACTTACCAGTTTAGGGAATGATTTTAGCAGTCAAGTGCAACACGTTTTGCTTACCTAAGACTTACACATAACTAAATCAATTTTCAATTCCTCATATTTCATCACTTTTCTTTAAATCATAGGTCGAATTTTTTTTTGCATCGACGCGTCGATGAAGGTGTTGCTTAGCGGTTTCAATGCCTAATATGTATTTGTAAAATTTATTTCCAAATGGGGACAACAATATGGGATCTTACAAATGATAAAATTCCGCTTCCACATGCGAATGCAGTACTTGCTGCCAAACGAAGAAAGGCGCAATTCAACGAATCTGTACAACAAGATGACGATTACCGAATTGAGGCTGAGATGGCCCAGTATTCCATGGCACGATTACGTGAATGAGATGTTGGCCCCCTTCCATAACGTGACACCCGAAGAGCCCGTCAACATTGTCGCCCCTGCATATATTGACAAGTTCGTCGGTGCTCTTGAGATCACACCCAAGAGGTAATCTGTCTTTATTCATGTTTTCTACCATAGCTACCATCCATCATTTAATATTCTAAACCTAATGAGATTAACTTTTCTAACACTTGAGAGATCGGATATCGTTTGCTACTAATCCCATGAATTTGGATCGGAACATTTAGATGGCGATGTGGGTGGGAGGTAGTATTAACAGAAAATATGAATTCGCTAGGGTGTTGGCGAATTACGCAATCTGGAGATTTGTGCAGGATTCGGCATGCTTCCTAACGAAAGATGTCCAAGATATCCAGGAGGAATTCTATTCGAAACTCAGTGGAAAAGTGGGAAGGCGGCCTCGCTGGAAGGAATGCATGAACATCGTCTCTAATCGGTACATTCACTCAGTTCATGATTTCTCTTGTCCCAATGACTGGGTCTGTATAAAAGGGATGGTGGTTGGAGGGTAGTGATGGTGGTTGTGGGGAGAGTTGGAAATCGATCTCAACTTCAATACATCAAACTACCGCCCTCCCCCCCCCCACCCCCACTTAACCCCTTGCCGGTTAAGGACTTATATATCAGTACATGCCGTTCCAAACTTCAAAGATTAAGAACTTCTGTACCAGTTTTTACACTTCAACGCTAGGCCCTTACTGACAAATACATCAATAATAATGAAAAACAGTTGCAGGAAGTCCTGAAATCTGTTGGACATGTCTTGACTTGCACTTACGTTTCATACTGTTTAGGTAAATTGCTTTCTAATATGCAAAACTTTTCAAAACAATTATTAGAACTACAGTTAACATGAGGGTACTGAGTTCGAATCCCAACCTAGAAATGAGACTCAAAGCAAATACCTAATGATCTATCCACATCAAGCATCCCAAAAATATAAATATCTTAAAACACCGATAGAATCATGACTAGAAGCTAAATTATAGCGATCTACAAAACTTTCAAAATGTTCAAAATGAGCGCACCAGATAGTAAATATTCAGTATTAAAAAAGTTAACCGTGTTGCTCACTTCGTTTTCAATTGAGCAGTGGGACTAGAAAATTATTTTAAATTAATTAAATTATTTTAAACTATCCGTGGTACCCGGCGTTGCCCGGGGAAATTCAATATTTCAATATTTCATGCATGACAAACTGGGAAACGTTAGCCTTATGGTTTTCCACAAGTTACCGATCTTGAGTGTCGCAAATGCGCTCGGACCCATTTCCCTTTTTTAACTTTATGAATAATTTCTGAATTATTTTGGATTAAAAAACTTCTTTGTAAAATTTTTTATTATCGTTTTGAAACATATTTTCGATGAAAACTTCAAAATAATATTACTTACTACCTACTGTAGTCTTCCAACAATGGGATTACCCGGGGTGCTGTAATGCAATTGGCCGGGAGGAGAGAGTTGGATGGAGTTGGAGGACGAAAATAGGCATATGACGACCGGGAATCGAACCTGGACCTCCCGATCACCGGTCAAGTGTGCTACCACTGCACCACCGAATCCGGGAGTCAGTCGTTCCTCTCGATGCCATCCCAGACACTGTAGTATCCCGGGAATGAACATTTTGGATTGAAACATAGCCCTCGACCTTCCCCTGAATGAGAGAGGAGGCCATGTAAAGTTTGGTTGCACTGGCTCCTTCGGGGTCCGAATGCATAAAGGAACAGACATACAGACAGACAGACATCACTTCCTTCTCATATATAGTAGAGATATGTATTGGGTTGGAAAGAAAGTCTTGCAACACTGCGCAAATTTTTCAAAATTGTATAACTTTATTGAAATGCAATTTCAGTCTACAATGTAACGACCATTGTTGTCTATGACATGTTCCCAACGCACGGGTAACTGCTCGATGCCCTTTGCCCAGAACTCTGGCCATTGCGAAGCGAAGAAACGGTCGACCCCATTTTCGAGCTGTGCTCGATCGTCGAAGTCCTTGTCCCGCAGGTGATTCTTGAGGGCCCGGAACGAGTGATAGTCGGAAGGGGCCAAGTCCGGAGAATACGCTGGATGGGGTAAAACTTCCCAGCCCGGTTCCGAAATCGTCTGGCGAGTCATCTTCGCAACATGTGCACGAGCGTTGTCATGCAGCAGAACTTTGTCGCGTTTGGGACGCTCTTTTTGAATGACGCCAGCCAACTTATGAAGTCGAGCAGCGTAGACGACGGCAGTCACGGTGGTACCGGTTGGCAGGAGCTCATCGTACGACATTCCTTCTTAATACCAACGACAGCAGAGAAGAACCTTCTTCTCGTGGAACCCTGGTTTCGGTTCGTGTGGCGGCAATTCTCCTCGTGGAAGCCACTGACTCTTGCGAGTATGGTCGACGTAGAGGACCCAGATCTCGTCTCCGGTAACGATTTCCTTCATAAGGTCCCTTCTGTGCGGACGAAGGAGCAGTGATTCGCAGACACCGACACGGCTTGCTTTGTCAGAGTCTCCGAGCCGATGAGTGACCCACGTCGAGTAAACCTTCCGATAGCCGAGGTCGTTCAGATGGTTGCCGATGGCCATACGTGTGACTGCAAGTGTAGTCGCCGATTCGCGAGTGGTGGCGTTCGGCTTCGCGTCGAGGGCGTTCCGCAGGGCTTCGTCATCGACTGTCGATGGACGTCCTGAGCGTGGTCGATCTCCGAAGGTCGTGTCGCCAGATTCCAAGCGTTCGAACCATCGAGACACCGTGGAATAGTGGACGTCGTTGCCCTCGAATGCAGCGCAGATGTTGTCCGCGGCGGCTCTCGCAGAGTGTCCTTGGAGGAACTCGTCGTAGACGATGGAGCGAAGAGTTGCTCGTTCGATCGGAGCCATGGCTGGCAACTGATGGCAGAAGCCGCCTTATATACCCCGAGGGCAGAAGCTTCGAGAACATTCCAGCATATACAAATGCAAATCCCCATGCCCATCATTCCTTTGAAAATTTTTATAAATAGTTTTAGAAAGTGTTGCAAGACTTTCTTTCCAACCCAATATTTTTTGTGAATCCATTTTCGAGGCCCTTTGGTGAAGTTACAAATGATCTATTTAGAGAATATTCACGACAATGTAACCATCACACCAAATTATAAAATTACAGCAGTTATCCTGTCTCAAACTATAGAAATGTGATATTTTTGGTATGTATAGTATGATTTTATGAGTATTAAAGAAAAAGATACTCATTACATCGCTTTTGGCCCATGTGACTGTATAACGTTTATTGTCATAATTACTACCATATTACCAAGACAATATTGCTGGTGCAAATTTTTCTCTATATAAAAAAATAAAAATATCGACTGATTAAGTTTGGTCCTGAAAGGCTTATTGAAATAGCTTGAAAACAATTTCATGAAGCTTTTCCCTCTTCCTCAACCCCACCAACTCCACAGGCAATGCGGTGGTTCCTGTATTCTCAATTCATTTCCCTAAGTCACTTCAACAATTATTAATTACAAACTTACCAGAAGAGACATGGAGACTTTCTGGGGCCAGGCATAACCAATGTACGGTTTCCAGATGAAGCCTAGACCTGCATTTATTCACAAAATAAACCCTAACTTTCGACTTGAGAGCCAATTTGTCCTATGGTGAATCTNAAGGTGAAACTTGGCACACGTATAAGTGACATGATATTATTGAGTTGAGGGAGTATTCAGCTTTCATGGTGCATCTCCTCTGGGCATAGCTTTTGGGGGCGTCGGCTTTTCCAAACATGTTTTTTCACCAGCGAAAAGGGCAAACGTATAAGGTTGTAACTTTGTGGGCATGTAGTTCTCTGAGGATTAATTTCCATAAAAAAAATAGAGTGCATCAAAAGTTATGGCCGAATTCCTGAAGTGCGATTTTTGCGCTGCTTGCGTGTCAGTGCGACGTTATGGTACCGTTTACCAAGTTGTTAGCCAAAATTTGCGTTTTGCCGTTAACCTTTGGTGTTTTTTCTCTGTGATCTCTGCAGTCATGGTTTCGTGGTACTATGTTCGAGAACGGGCGTTGCGCTTGTCTTGGTATCAGGAAACAAAGTCGATCACCGAGGTAGAGAGACGCTTTAAGAACGGTGACTTACATGCGTTGCGTCAGGTCGCAACTCCATTTTGATCTGGCACTATCTGCATCCTGGACAATGATCGCGAGATGCCTTCTGGACCCGTGAACGTAACAGTTACTAGGAAGTTACCAGACGATCGAATTAATCGAATTGGAAACTTTCATATTAATGCATATGCTTACGTGAAACGTTCCTAGCGCAGAAGAGCACAGAAGAGGTTTGCACAACTGGGGCCAGATGGCACCAAAGTAGCCGCTATTGCGAGTCAATACCTGATAGAGCTGGAATAAGTCCCTATTATTTCTATTACAGGGTGATTTTAAAGTCGCCGAACCCATACATTTGCATATATCTCCGGTCACACTTGCGGGAACAACATATAAGGGGTGTTCAAATTAAAAGTGGACAAGTCGGAAGTAAAGCATAAAATATATATTGATCTATACGAATCCGCAAAGCCTATTGAGACATGTGTCCCAACGTGAAGTTAGTGACATGATACCCCGTTCGTATAACGACTTTGGCTGTTGCATGAGGAAGACTGTGATCATGCGCTGCACCTCTTCGTCCTACTTGAACTACCTTCTTTTCATGGCTTTCTTTAGAGTTCCAAAAATGTGAAAATCACATGGGGAGAGGTCAGGACTGTAGGGGGGTGTTCCATGCGCTCCCGACCATACCTGTTCAACTTTGTTACCGTTAATTGGGCAGTATGGGGGCAAGCGTTGTTGTTTCCCTCTTCCTAAGACAGGAAGAGGGAAAGGAAAGAGAGGGAAGACTATTCATTTTTCTCTCTCTCTTGTTTTTGCCTTCGGCTCGATCTCATACGGTGCATGCTGTGAAAGTGGACTATTCTTATACTCCCTTCATTTCGAAGCATACATTGGTTAATCCCCCTCTCTATATTTTTGCCTTTCTCCTTAGTATGCAGACCAAAGTTTTTTTTAAAACTTTCTCTTGGTGAACCCAAAGTCAATTTCTTACATGGACGTTGCTTATTCTAGGGCTGTAAGTACTCGTATGTTTCGACAATCGCCGGTATGGCACCATTGGCAGGTTTGCTCTCTGCCGGTGTCCAAGTCCAAAGAAGACCGTGTAGAATGGAGAAAGAAAAATTACTGTTGGCAACTGATTCTCCACGGCAATAAGAAAAATTATGGCTGTCCTGATGTATCCGTCGATGAATGGATGTCAATTTCGATGGTTAGAGCCATGGTAGGTTTCATTACTCGTTGTGAAAGTCACACCTTCCTCCCGCACCCCCTAATCATTAGCTGAGATTATGGAACACGGATAGAGGTTCGCGCTTCAATCGAGGCAAGAAACGATGCAGTCAAATCTCCGCCCAATCGCCCGAGAAAAGTTTAAATTCCCCCCCCTCCGATCCATCGAAACTTAACATTTTTCTTTAACTCCTTGTCTCAGTAGTCACATGCATGCAAAGTTTCAGCTTTCCATGTTCATCAGTTTAACTGATGCAAAAAAATAATTTGAAAATATCTCCCTTTTAAATTTGTGTCCCCAGGGCATTTACTTCCAAAGTCTGAATTTTTCTGCACGCTGCATCCCAATAGGTAGTTATGTACAAAGTTTCCACACTAGCTCAATACGCCATGACAAAAAAAATTACTTGAAAACGTTCGCCCCGAAAAATATGCCCCCAGGGGAATAAATCTAAAATGTTACATTTTTCCTGAACTCATCGTCTCGGTAGGCACGTCCGTGCCAAGTTTCAGCTTTCCATGTCTCTCTGTTTTACTCAAGCAAAAACATTGTTATAGAGGGGGAATGAGTAACGGGACTTGGAAGGCATGAGAGGCCGAAAGAAAGCCGAGGGATGATCGGGAATCGAACCAGGACCTCCTGATTGACGGTCAGGAGTCCTATCACTACACCATCTAACCCAGGACATCCAGTGAAGCTTCTCGATACCATCCTCATCCGTCGCAATATGTATTTAAAAACTTCTCCTCAAAAAATGTGCGCCCCAGGTCATGTACCTCCAAAATCGGATTTTTTTTCTGAACTCTCCATCCCAATAGGTACTTGTGTACCAAGATTCAGATTTCTAACCTTTCTAGAACATGGTTAGAATCAGCATCAGTCAGTCAGTCACTCACGATCATTATATATATTAGATACTGCATAGATGATATGTTCTATCCTGCTCTCTATAAATTAATATTTTGCTCAAGAAAACTGGATTTCCGATGCACTTGGGACAAGAGTGGGATTCTAAATTTTAAGAGACACCGATAAAAACTTCCTTCACTCTTCAGTACCTCGCAGCCACCCAATGTTACTAGTTTACCAGTCTCATAAATGCGATGGTATCATCCTCGCAGGCAGTGACAACACCATGTTTTTAAAGGACCGTGCCTTGAACTTGTTTTTAATGAAGGGGAGAGAACTTACCCTATTGTAAAGTTTAGTGAATCTGTCATCATGGAACATCCACCCAGGATAAGCAATATCGGCCTTCATCATTTCGCATTTCTGCTTCACTCGGAGCCTGGGAAGATACGATCACAAGAATTTGCAAAATGAGAGAGAAAAAGCAGGTCAAAAACAGGAAAAAAAGGAGTGGGAGTTCAACCGAGTTGTGGAATCCATCCAATCCATCTCATGCAAGCTGGCGATGAATTCAGCGCGGATGTGTCCGACCATCTCGAAGACCTCCTTCTTCACGTTTTCTCCTTTGCGTAAACTCCTCACGTACATTGCTCCCAATGCATTGGGAAGACTGCATTACAAACGCCAGTGAGGAATAATGCAATAAGCTCTAAGGCGCTTCCTTTTCACCTTTCTTCAACCCCTTCCTGTTGCGAAATTCCACCTCCTCACATTGCTTTCTGAAAGCAATTGAAGGAACTGAATTGGGTGCGCGCTTCTTACCCTTTGAACATAGAATCTCTACAACAAATATAAAAGAAAACAATATATTCTCTGGGTTACATAAAAACAGGATCTCTTCTTTGGTAGGTGTGAATTCCATTCCGGTAGTTTTTTCATATCTCCTTCCAAGTCCCCCCCCCCCTCCCCTCGTTTGGAGGTTTTTGAATGAAATAGCCAAAGGAAAAAGATAGACATATATTGACTTGTAGAGCAACATACGTGCTCCTCTACCGTTGCTGGAAATGCTTCATTTGATTCTGACGTATGAAATCATCTGTCGTATATTTGGTCTTATCGAGATAGGCCAATTATTGGTCTACCTTTACACGTATTCAGCGAGATGGTGCGAGAAACTCAGGGTAGGCCCATGTTATGCCTAAGGTGATACTCCGCATCGAAATGTTCCGATACCCCATATAAGGTAATCTGGAGTTCTCTCCCAAGTTAACGTATACTGTAGATTCACCATAGGACAAATTGGCTCTCAAGTCGAAAGTTAGGGTTTATTTTGTGAATAAATGCAGGTCTAGGCTTCATCTGGAAACCGTACATTGGTTATGCCTGGCCCCAGAAAGTCTCCATGTCTCTTCTGGTAAGTTTGTAATTAATAATTGTTGAAGTGACTTAGGGAAATGAATTGAGAATACAGGAACCACCGCATTGCCTGTGGAGTTGGTGGGGTTGAGGAAGAGGGAAAAGCTTCATGAAATTGTTTTCAAGCTATTTCAATAAGCCTTTCAGGACCAAACTTAATCAGTCGATATTTTTATTTTTTTATATAGAGAAAAATTTGCACCAGCAATATTGTCTTGGTAATATGGTAGTAATTATGACAATAAACGTTATACAGTCACATGGGCCAAAAGCGATGTAATGAGTATCTTTTTCTTTAATACTCATAAAATCATACTATACATACCAAAAATATCACATTTCTATAGTTTGAGACAGGATAACTGCTGTAATTTTATAATTTGGTGTGATGGTTACATTGTCGTGAATATTCTCTAAATAGATCATTTGTAACTTCACCAAAGGGCCTCGAAAATGGATTCACAAAAAATATTGGGTTGGAAAGAAAGTCTTGCAACACTTTCTAAAACTATTTATAAAAATAAGAGCCATGGTAGGTTTCATTACTCGTTGTGAAAGTCACACCTTCCTCCCGCACCCCCTAATCATTAGCTGAGATTATGGAACACGGATAGAGGTTCGCGCTTCAATCGAGGCAAGAAACGATGCAGCCAAATCTCCGCCCAATCGCCCGAGAAAAGTTTGAATCCCCCCCCTCCGATCCATCGATACATTATCGATAGTTCAGGTCGATGCATCGATGTTTTGAAAACTGCTATCGTGACAGCCCTAATGTAAAGTGCTGAAAATAGTGAATTTTCTAACCTTTAGAATTAGTTACTCAAAGTTACATGTTAAAGAGTGTATTCTCAAGAAAACAACATGATCTGTACATATTTTGAACTACACAGATGAACGTGACATTGGGCCATTTCTACTGGAACGTGTTGAACAGTTATTTATTTGGGAGAAATGAAGCATTTCGTCGTTTCCGACAGCAGGGGAATAATGGCCTTTGGGTTGCTTATGGGGATGCTACAGTCGTCAATGCCTTCAGTTCCCCTTCAAAGAACCTTATCGGTCCGGAAAAACAATCGTGACTTCATTCAGCGTCACTACAGATTTTATCATGTTTTTGTCGTCCCATTTCTTTTCGTTGTCAGATCTGCCGGCGGGAATCTTGGAAGGCGTCTTTTATGCAACAAACCGACCCCAGTACCTGAATTATGGAGGGATCGGTTCCGTGATCGGCCACGAAATCATTCACGCGTTTGACGATAAGGTCGATCATTCGCGATCAACACCACGTATCTCTCAATTTTCTATTTCAGATGTCCCGTTATCTGATTTTTTAAAGTAGCGGTCCTTATATTTCAATGCAGGGTCGTCAATATGACTGGAACGGGAACTTGGCAAACTGGTGGACGCAAAAACCAGACCAAGAATTCCGTAAAAGGACAGAGTGTATCATCTCACAATATGGAAATTATACAGTCCCAGAACTGGGATTGACGGTGAGTCATTCGAGCGTCAATTGCTTCTTTGACTCATTTATTCATTTATTCTCATGACCGCGACACTACTACATACCTGTATGAATATTCCTGCAAGATGCCCAAACCTGAATCGTTTCATATCCGTCCAACTTCTTGCGCTTAACCCTCATCGTTTCCGCCATTAGCGGACACTTCGAAGGCCTCCTGATTTTCTGATTGGTAAGACCAAGAACACCCAGATCAATTGGATGCCCTGATGAATATCGATAATTCACACAAGTGAAAGTCAACATCGACACCATCCAATATTGAAAATAATGTTATATTTGAAAGCACTTTTGTGCAAACTTTATTTTAAAATCATGCGATTTTTATATTTTACCCGCTAGTGGTTTTTCCCTTCTGCAAAACTCGCAAAACTCACACCATCGGCGTTCGCCTGTGTGAGTGAATCTAACAAAGGGTGTTGCACTAGGGATAAATTTCGACCAAACTTTTTGGTTTGGTTTTTTTAGTATTAAAAGTACTTTAATAACGAAGTCAAATGGCACCAAGTCATACTGCAATTAAGCAAGTTTAGGGTCATAACTAGCTCTCTCAATCTCAAAAACTCCGCGCGGACCCAAGTCCCGATTACATATCCACTGATTCTTATCGAGTTCCTTCCAAATTTCTCTTCTCTATTCCTCTCTTCCTGTTTTGGATCTCTTCTTATTGTTATATCTTACCAGTACCGGCAATTGATATGTGTACTACATTCAGAGCAGAGAAAAATACATACAACAAATAATTACAATTGAGATATCAGCTAGTGGAGGAGGGGGTGCTTCGAGGGAGACTTACCTTGAAGGTGATCCTTCAACTCGATATCGTGCGAATTTATTGGCGTCACTGGCTCTCTAATTGTTCCAAATGCTTCATTGAGTATCTACGGCTCATTCTGCGCAATAGTTCGCACCGTTTTATTGGTTATCATCCGTTATCGGGTCTAAAGGACAGGAGATGAGTCGGATCACTCGAGAAATGGGGAAGGAACTCGATGAGAGTAAGAGGTTATGTGGTCGGTTCTTGGATCCACGCATAGCCTTTGAGATTGAGAGAGCAAGTTGAGTCAAAACCTTTTTAATCGGCGCTTGTTTTTTGTAAGTTAACATCGCTTTGAGAGTGCTTTTGAATGACCAAAGTTTAAGTTTTAGCTGAAGTCGGAAATTATCACTTGGGCAAAATTCCTTGTAAGGCCAGTGAGGTATCGTAAACTAGCACTTTCGGCTCTTGTAGCTTCGAAATACTTTGGTAAAACTTAGCATCCCATACAAAATGTAACGTTCAAAACGTTCGTCTCAATTTTACCGCTTTTGCCATTAATCTTTACCTGAAGGGTCTTCTGACAGGTTGAGAGACGGGGGAAAAAACCTTTTTTTCTTTTACCTCAGTTTCACCGTCCGAAATGTTATCTCATGGAAAATTTTTTGTAAGGGATGGATTCGTTAAAATGCTTAATATGAAGTCATGTGATTTCAGTTTGTACAATTTCATTGGAAAGATTTTTGCTTAGGAGCACTAAGTAAATATCCATATTCTCTCAAGCTTCGCTATGGTAGTATCTAAATCTATACTGATTTCGCATATTTCATGAATTGCACATTCTTACGTCATGTGACTTATGGCATGTGGAGTCTAGGAAAATAATTCCCAATGCGTCGCTTCGTGCCAAAAGCCCTATCAGTAGCTCCACATCAGAACAAGAAATTGGGGGAAACTGTTCTCATCGGAAGAAGCTATGCCGGGGAAAAATGCATATGATTGGAATGAGAGAAAAGAATGATTTCAATGCACAAGGGCTTCATACCTTTAAAATTGGAGGCGCGACTGAGGGTTATCTTGCGAAGAATGCTAAGGTCCCCTACCTACTTCAGCAAACATTTGAATTGCATGAGGAGAAAGTAATGAATGTTGAAGGAAGCGGTCATGGAATGGTTTGCAGCTCAACGGCATCAACACTCTGGGCGAGAACATAGCCGACAACGGAGGATTCAAGGTGGCGTATCGGGCATACGTTAAATGGAGCAAGGAAAACGGCGAGGAAAAACTTCTACCCGGCCTTGAGGTAATTGATCTCTATTTAGACTTTCTTACTCGGGAATTGAAGTATCTAGATTCAGGAATTGAGGGGAATGTATTGTGTGACTCCAGCACCTGAACCCCAGGCAGATGTTTTGGATCTCGGCAGCGAACACCATGTGCTCCAAGTACAGAAAAGAGGGACTGAAATATGCCATTTTGACGGATTCACACTCTCCAAAAGGATTCCGGATTCGGGGTGCCTTTCAAAACGCTCCAGAATTCGCCCGAGATTTCAAGTGCTCCCTCGGAACTCCTTATAACCCCAGGAACCGGTGCACCCTTTGGTGACGTAGAACTCACGTCCCTCATACTTCCTCACCTCAATATTATTGCTACTGGAAGAGACCTCATTCATTAACATTAGGAGTTTCTGGCTGAGACAGACATGCTGAGTCACCAAGCAGATCTAATAGCTACTCATTGTTGAAAAAGCTTTTGGAAAGAGTATTATCCTTCTGACATACAGTATCTATTTGCGCCTTCTTTCTCACTGATTTTTCCTGACATGTTGTCGTTCATTTTTTCCGGCAAATGACACTGAAATCCAGTGAAATACAATATTTTGGCATTTTAAACTTCAGAACCACTACCGTTCCATGTTGTAATGCTCTCTTTTGCGTCCCTATCACGTGAATCGAACATGAAGGGCACGACATTTTTCCTTCTGAACTCACGGATGTATAAAGATCTTCTGCATGAAATTCTTGTACGTTCTGTCTCACTTAATTTGACATTATTTTAAAGTCATTGTTCCTGCCTCGGCAAGCATTCTGCAGTTTTTAATAATACTAGGCTAAGTAAGAATTCTGGATTCAGAACTGGTAACTTGATTGGTGTATCCGTTTTACTCCCCATTATGCACGCTTTTCCGAGCCGATTACTGAGGATTCTATCCCCTAAAAGAACGTTCATCTGTGTACAGGGTAATATTTAATTCAAAGACTTTAAGTTCGTGAATATCGATTTTGGGGCATGGAGACTTTGAGAAAATGAATTATCACGGCATGAAATTATCGTACAAATCATAAAACATGAAAAACACACATTTGGCCTGTACAAGGACTGACAATTTTCCTAGTTGGCCATGGAACATTCCTCATTTTCTAACAAGTAGTCAGGCGAACACACGGGTCTCAAGAATGTTCGCCACAGAGTTCTCCTTGCAAATGTTGACTCCTTGATCCACTAAAACCATAGAAGTCTTGCCCATTGAGGACACTCCAGTCTACGGTAAGTCATCACTGACGCCGGATCGTGTCCCCTGTACCTTTTTCACAACCTCAGGCAATTTCATGAAACTTTTTCCATAGGCCCTGTTAAGTATTTGAGCATTCCAACTTGCTTCCACCTCGGAACAACTTCTCATCGAATGCGGTAAACTTTTTCAGGCGTGAACCCCGAAGTTGATTTGACATTTTTCTTTCCTGGCCAGCTTTGTCTGTTGATTGGGCATCTGAGTCTCTGGACTCTGGGCATCTTCAAACGTTTCAATTGATGATTCTGTTTTGGCACTCGCCGCATAGTTGCGTACGAGGTATCCATCTCGATCACCAATTTTCGGCCTGAACGCGGAGTGTTCCCGCCCGATCCCCACCTTCACATTATTGACGAGCTCCCGCGTGCAAGTGGGACGTGGTCGGCCGGTATGCTTTCTGTCTTTCACGCCCCTAGTCTCTACGAGGAGAGACGGCCTTTGAGAAAGGTGAACGAAATCCCAATTGTAACCAACTAATCGTAGTTGCCGGGATACTACCTCGACATTGGCCAGTCTGAAACAGCTGGTGTCTCCCTGGAGTCAAGAGTTCAGAGGGTCAGAGAAAGAATCCGTAAGTGCAGTGGTGAACAATGACCATAATCCAACATCGACTGCCTTTATTTAACGCCTGCTGGGTCGGAAGTAGGGGCGGGCGATAGGGAAAGATGGGAGAGTGGGGTGTGAAGGGGCTTCAATCTGTTTCAAGGATGTATCAATTGCAGGAACTCTAACACACTGATGCTAGTCTGGTCAAGATCTGGAACTAAGAAAATCTTTGCAGCCAGTTTTTGGGCCTGGTGGCCAGTAACTAGGTGAAGCAGGATTCACATCTCTAGTATCTGGGGGCCCTTATGTAAATATTACCCCAGGCCTCACAATTCATTTTGGCGACCCTGACTATGTTACACGCTTAGCCTAGGTCAGAAATGCCAAACCTGACTAAGCTGGCGGCCGGATGGAACCCTCAGGTGTGTTTGGGCCCACTTTCGCACATCTTGCACCAAAATTTCAATTTGCAACAGGTTGAAATAGTCTACTCTGTTTAAAAATCAACCGACCCGAAGTTCGTGCAAATCTTCCACAAGTCATTCTCAAGAACGGAATGTGCGATTGTGATCGATAGGAAGAAGTGCCGATCGATAAAGGGGTCGGGATTCCGATAAATGTAAGGGCGAAGATCTCACCCCGGCGAGGAAATTTTCCTTCCTTCAGCGGGATGAAAGGGGACTCCAAGGGTTCTACATGGGGACGTGTAAAGATTGGGGATGAGGGTCTGCTGCCTATAGCGATGAGAGGGCCTCTGAGTTTTAGGGCCACGAATGAACCAGGGAGTTCTTGCCCAAGAGTTCGTGGAAGTTTTCCATGGGTCGGCTAGTGTTATTGATATTCCTGATTATTTCCCATTCTTCCTATCCAGAAAACCATTTTAGGCCTCAAAAAAACATTTCAGAGTAGCGCCTTTCCTTCCCTGGGTGCACTCAAGAGGTGATATCTGGAATTTTCTGCCAATTTGTTCATCTTGCCCAGAGAGTGGCAAACATGGTGTGTCATCTTGGTAGTATCGCACTACAATACTTGATTTCGAAGTGAGTGACATCGTACCTTTTCATGTTTTGCGTTCGAGGCATTACAAATTTGCAAATTTCTCAGAGGAGAACTAAGTAGCCACATGAAATCCGCGATTGATTGCGCCACTAGAGACCTTTTTCTTCAACTCCTCCTGGATGAGTTGCGGACAATACCGGAATGTCTGTGGAAAAAAAGGAGTTTTCATTTTATCACTTATGCTGTTCCAAGAAAACCCCGGAATCGCTCTGGGTACGTAAAGGATATTGTATCATTCAGTACAAATGAAGTGCTTCCATCCTCGGATGGAAGCACTTTTCATATATTGCGAACAGTAATCTACAACTTTAATAGGGACATATAGAAAATGTCAGATGTGGTGTTCGCCTGGGCAATTCTTTTTTTCGTCGCATATCGCCACAACAACAGCTCAGAAACTTGACTAAATGCACATGTACAGCCTTCAGTCTTGATCGGAGTGCCAATCAGTATCGCGGATGAAGGCGGGCAACAGCACGATTGCTGCTCGTTCCATGTACACTTGTGCTAGGCTCTTCGTCAATCGCACCTCTGTGACAAATCTACAGGGGTTCACGGCCTACCTCAATGCGGCTTGTTGCAAGCACAACCCGTCTCCTCGAACTTATCGACCAAATTCATTAGAGCTTGTCTCGAGCAGGGCCCCAAACGCCGGCTGTGTGCTGCGCGGTATTTTCATAAGGCAACAAATCCAAGTACAGAAAAGAGGGACTGAAATATGCCATTTTGACGGATTCACACTCTCCAAAAGGATTCCGGATTCGGGGTGCCTTTCAAAACGCTCCAGAATTCGCCCGAGATTTCAAGTGCTCCCTCGGAACTCCTTATAACCCCAGGAACCGGTGCACCCTTTGGTGACGTAGAACTCACGTCCCTCATACTTCCTCACCTCAATATTATTGCTACTGGAAGAAACCTCATTCATTAACATTAGGGGTTTCTGGCTGAGACAGACATGCTGAGTCACTACGCAGATCTAATAGCAACTCATTGTTGCTTTTGGAAAGAATATTATCCTTCTGACATACAGTATCCATTTGCGCCTTCTTTCTCACTGATTTTTCCTGACATGTTGTCGTTCTGTATTTCCGGCAAATGACACTGAAATCCAGTGAAATACAATATTTTGGCAATTTAAACTTCGGAACCACTACCGTTCCATGTTGTAATGCTCTCTTTTTGCGTCCCTATCACGTGAATCGAACATGAAGGGCACGACATTTTTCCTTCTGAACTCACGGATGCATAAAGATCTTCTGCATGAAATTCTTGTACGTTCTATCTCACTTAATTTGACATTATTTTAAAGTCATTGTTCCTGCCTCGGCAAGCAAGCTGCAGTTTTTAATAATACTAGGCTAAGTAAGAATTCTGGATTCAGAACTGGTAACTTGATTGGTGTATCCGTTTTACTCCCCATTATGCACGCTTTTCCGAGCCGAGTACTGAGGATTCTATCCCCTAAAATAACGTTCATCTGTGTACAGGGTAATATTTAATTCAAAGACTTTAAGTTCGTGAATATCAATTTTGGGGCATGGAGACTTTGAGAAAATGAATTATCACGGCATGAAATTATCGTACAAATCATAAAACATGAAAAACACACATTTGGCCTGTACAAGGACTGACAATTTTCCTAGTTGGCCATGGATTGATTGCTGCTTGCACATTTTCCATGGCCAGTGTGCTCGAGGTTTCAACAAGGGAGGACTTAGGAGACAAAATGGTTTATAAACTCTTTTCAGTGTAGACCATCTGCTCCAACCCGGACGAAACGCAGTGAACTAGCGGATTGACATCGGGTGTTGGGGCGGAACATTCAGTATTGAATATGAAAACCGGCAACTACTCCCTGTAGTTTTGGATCATGCAGGCCTTGTGGGCAGCTGCTGAATCCTGCTGGAACTACCATTCCTCATTTTCTAACAAGTAGTCAGGCGAACACACGGGTCTCAAGAATGTTCGCCACAGAGTTCTCCTTGCAAATGTTGACTCCTTGATCCACTAAAACCATAGAAGTCTTGCCCATTGAGGACGCTCCAGTCTAAGTCATCACTGACGCCGGATCGTGTCCCCTGTACCTTTTTCACAACCTCAGGCAATTTCATGAAACTTTTTCCGTAGGCCCTGTTAAGTATTTGAGCATTCCAACTTGCGTCCACCTCGAACAACTTCTCATCGAATGCGGTAAACTTTTTCAGGCGTGAATCCCCGAAGTTGATTTGACATTTTCCCTTCCTGGCCAGCTTTGTCTGTTGATTGGGCATCTGAGTCTCTGGACTCGAGACTGGGCATCTTCAAACGTTTCAATTGATGATTCTGTTTTGGCACTCGCCGCATACGTACGAGGTATCCATCTCGATCACCAATTTTCGGCTTGAACGCGGAGCGTTCCCGCCCGATCCCCATCTTCACATTATTGACGAGCTCCCGCGTGCAAGTGGGATGTGGTCGGCCGGTATGCTTTCTGTCTTTGACGCCCCTACTCTCTAGAGACGGCCTTTGAGAAAGATAAATGAAATCCCAATTGTAACCAACTAATCGTAGTTGCCAGGATACTCCCTCGGCTTTGGCCAGTCTGAAACAGCTGGTGTCTCCCTGGAGTCAAGAGTTCAAAGGAGGGTCGGAGAAAGAATCCGTAAGTGCAGTGGTGAATAATGACCATAATCCAACATCGACTGCCTTTATTTAACGCCTGCTGGGTCGGAAGTAGGGCGGGCGATTGGGAAAGATGGGAGAGTGGGGTGTGGAGGGGCTTCAATCTGATTCAAGGATGTATCAATTGCAGGAACTGATGTTAGTCTGGTCAAGATCTGGAACTAAGAAAAATATTTGCAGCCAGTTTTTGGCCTGGTGGCCAGTAACTAGGTGAAGCAGGATTCATATCTCTTGTATCTGGGGGCCCTTATGTAAATATTGGGTTACACGCTTAGCCTAGGTCAGAAGTGCCAAACTTGACTAAGCTGGCGGCCGGATGGAACCCTCAGGTGTGTTTGGGCCCACTTTCGCACATCTTGCACCAAAATTTCAATTTGCAACAGGTTGAAATAGTCTACTCTGTTTAAAAATCAACCGACCCGAAGTTCGTGCAAATCTTCCACAAGTCATTCTCGAGAACGGAATGTGCGATTGTGATCGATAGGAAAAAGTGCCGATCGATAAAGGGGTCGGGATTCCGATAAATGTAAGGGCGAAGATCTCACCCCGGCGAGGAAATTTTCCTTCCTTCAGCGGGATGAAAGGGGACTCCAAGGGTTCTACGTGGGGACGTGTAAAGATTGGGGAAGAGGGTCTGCTGCCTATAGCGATGAGAGGGCCTCTGAGTTTTAGGACCACGAATGAACCGGAGTTCTTGCCCAAGAGTTCGTGGAAGTTTTCCATGGGTCGGCTAGTGTTATTTATATTCCTGATTATTTCCCATTCTTCCTATCCTGAAAACCATTTTAGGCCTTAAAAAAACATTTCAGAGTAGCGCCTTTCCTTCCCTGGGTGCACTCAAGAGGTGATATCTGGAATTTTCTGCCAATTTGTTCACCTTGTCCAGAGAGTGGCAAACATGGTGTGTCATCTTGGTAGGATCGCACTACAATACTTGATTTCGAAGTGAGTGACATCGTATCTTTTCATGTTTTGCGTTCGAGGCATTACAAATCTGCAAATTTCTCAGAGGGGAACTAAGTAGCCAGATGAAATCCGCGATTGATCGCGCCACTAGAGACCTTTTTCTTCAACTCCTCCTGGATGAGTTGCGGGCAATACCGGAATGTCTGTGAAAAAAAAAAAGGAGTTTTCATTTTATCACTTATGTTGTTCCAAGAAAACCCCGGAATCGCTCTGGGTACGTAAAGGATATTGCATCATTCAGTACAAATGAAGTGCTTCCATCCTCGGATAGAAGCACTTTTCATATATTGCGAACAGTAATCTACAACTTTAATAGGGACATATAGAAAATGTCAGATGTGGTGTTCGCCTAGGCAATTCTTTTTTTCGTCGCATATCGCCACAACAACAGCTCAGAAACTTGACTAAATGCACATGTACAGCCTTCAGTCTTGATCGGAATGCCAATCAGTATCGCGGATGAAGGCGGGCAACAGCACGATTGCTGCTCGTTCCATGTTCACTTGTGCTAGGCTCTTCGTCAATCGCACCTCTGTGACAAATCTACAGGGGTTCACGGCCTGCCTCAATGCGGCTTGTTGCAAGCACAACCCGTCTCCTCGAACTTATCGACCAAATTCATTAGAGCTTGTCTCGAGCAGGGCCCCAAACGCCGGCTGTGTGCTGCGCGGTATTTTCATAAGGCAACAATAGCATTAAACCTGTTCGTGTAGAAAAGCTTTATTAGTTCGCCTCTCTACTTTTTAATCAAATTCAACACATTTCTATATATGACCGACAATTACATACTTTCAGTAGTGGTTCAATACTGCCAAGAGTGCAAATATGGGAAAATAATAAAATAATTTTTTTTACCAAAACAGTCTCAATAAAATCCCATGACCCCCTGAGTATCCCCCTAAAATTTCACTGTCCTATGCCTTACCGTCCCGGAGATATCGAATTTCAAAAGTGTATGGTTTTTATGGACACCCTGTATTTCAGTTAATTTTCCCATTTCGATTCATTTTCTTCCAAGAGGAAAAGGCATCAACAAGGAATCCCGATTGTGCAGAATCGTCTGCAAAACCGAAATGCATTTAGAGCAGGTGTGTCCAACTGGCCGGATCCGACCACCAATTCATATTATCCGGCCCGAGAATTCCTCTTTAACAGTTGATTTCGGAAATTTTCGGAAAATATCACTTGTCCGCATTAAAAATGTGGTGTATATTGTACGAGATTCGTTAGAGAGGCCCCCAAACATCTGAACCAAATCGTTTGATCTCCGCCAAATTGAACCCTACACACCTGGTTTAGAGCCTAGTCAAGAGGGGGGGGGGGGGAAGATTTGAGCGACCTTGCATTGTCTAGACTAGTGGTTCCCAAACTTTTTTGGTAACGACTCAAAATTCAACATCCAAACCCTGGGTCACGACCCTGGGTTCGGGAACCCCTGGTCTAGACGCATGTTGGGTCCTACCCTTCCTGAAAAATGAGCTAGGGCGAAGGTGTTGGATAGATGTCGCATAGCGTATACTCGTCCCTCTTTCCCCTCAGTGCTCACTCCGACGGAAAGCATTTCTTAAAAATCCATCTACCTCCATCGGGTCTCTTATCTGATCGAAGAGAACGAACTTACCCCTTTCCTTACACCTCCCTTCACTTTCCGCATTCTGCATTCATCGCCTAGAGACATCGGCGTGGTCATACTGATTCAAAACATTATGTCGTCGTCTGAAATGAAAATATATACGAGTATATTTAGCTAATTTGGTGCATATCATTTTAATTCTCTTGCACCGTTCTCCTACTTGAGACATGCTCATCCATGCACAAAAATGAGATTTGAAAGATGACTTAAAATAACGAAAAAGCTGCATCACAGAGCCGATAACATACTCTGAGATCGTAGTAGCAGGCTTTTCTCCTCATGTCAGTCCTGTAATGGAAGGTGACAGGCTCACGATGGTCATAAACCTCGTCTCCATTTTCTAATAGCCTAAAATTATATTCTCTCCATCTTTCCTCGATATTGCGTTCCTTGAGCATGGTGATGCGGGCTCCTGTTCCCTAATTTATTCAATTGTAAGGAACTTGTAAGGGGAATATATTCATTTTTATTTTTGGGGACTCCATCATTAGAGGAATCCTAACGTGCTCATTGCCAAAATGCGACAGCCTCATGTTTCCTTTCTTCAATTCTTCCTCAGAACAATTACTCTAACTCCGAGCTTCCTTTGACTTCGTTT